TGGTCAAAACAAGGACATCTGCCCTGCAATCTGTGGTCCCCACAATGCTTTGCTGTTCCTCCACCAAGAGATGATCCTGCCCTTAGGGCTTCTGAGAAGGACAGGGAATTCAGCGGTACAGGGAACTGGAACTTTTCCTAAAAAGATGAGGAGGGAGATAGGAGCATCTAGAACTCCAACCCTTCTCTAGCATAGCTATGAACTGCCAGGGTCTCCAGGGTGGCAGGAGGCATCAACTTCCCACAGGAGCAAGAGGCTTTCAAAATCTCCAGGAAGAGATGGAGGGAAAGGGCCATTTTCTGTCAAGGGTGAGAATTCTTTGTAGACTACAAATTCCTGCAGATCAAACAGGCGCTCCTAGTTGGTTCATGTCACTCCAGAATGTAACCATGAGCAGGCCCTGATCTGGACCACTGCCCCACTGGGAAGACTTTCATTGCACTTCTCAACATCCTTTAGGTCTACCATCACCACAGGCTCTGGAATTCAGTATAAATTACAGCATCTACACTCAACACACTTTTAAATATAAAACCTAAACTTGCAAAACAGGGAACATCCTACTCAGCAGCCACCAGATGGCAAAGTCTACAAACTGTGATATATTCTTTTATATATTCCTATACTAGAATATCAACTGTACATTAATTGTGTTGGTAGAATAAATGAAAATAGCTCCTAGCAGGAAGCTGAGAGACAAATGTTTGGACTCCATCAAATTCATCATAAAGATGCATCTTCAAAACTAATATTTGAGAGATTTGAAACAGGATAATAATTGAACCCCTGTGACCTATAGACAGCTACAGTCTTTTAATTTTCCTATGAAGGTAGAATCCCAGGACATTGGATCAAGCCATGCCCACAATGTCAACAAGCAAACAGTAAGTTTTGCAACGTAAGAACATGGAGACAGACAAATAAGCATACAAATGATAGTAAGTGAGGTTTTATTTTATTCACCATAAAATATTTGCATCTCTTACTCCTCAGGTTCTTATATAAGACAACAGTTAATTAATTAAGTTACCATTATAGCCATTGAGGGCCTGAGAAACCACATCCTTTGCAACTGTCTCATAAACCAAGTCCTGGGAGGCATCGTGAAGAACTCCATCCAACTTGAACGACCAGTCTATCTGTTGGTTATTGACAACTCCTCTCCGAATGTCTTTTTTTAAGTGAATATCGATGCTCTAGGAAAAAAGAGTGAGAAAGAAAAAAATGTTATTTGTTCAAAAACGAGTATTAAAAAAATCACTGATAGCTGAGGCCTAATTTGGAGGGAACAGAGGAAGTGAACTGTAGGATGAACAGGGACTCCCATGTAGGGGCTGATATTCCAGATGAATTCTTTGGGATGGGAGAAGAGAGCTCCTGCAGGGAGGTGGAAAGATCAGGAGACTGGAGCACTTCCTAGTTTTAGCACCTCTAACCCTAGTTCAAGGGTGCTGTCTTGGTTTCTCCACCTATGATATGAAGTCAAATTTATCATGTTCTTATTAAACAAGTTTTACATAGATTCCATAAGCACAGGGAGGCCTTGAATTACGCCAGAGGGAATAGTGAGCCTGGCGACAGAGGCCTGGGCTCCAGCCCCATTGCTCTGGTTGCTGGCAGTGAGGCCTCTCTCAGCTCTGCATTATGGTGAACACCTACTTCCACACACACGCTATGAGCCAAAGTGAGTGATAATGAAATGAAAGCCACAGAGAAGGCTATGGACTTCTCAGACATTGGAATTAAGAGTAAATTGAGGGTGCCATCAGCAGATTTTTAGATGCATGCCCCTTCATAGTAAGCCATTGTGGTAGCAGCTGGCTTAGGGACATACCGGGTAAGGTCAATGGTAGATTCCAATCTTCTTGATGAGAACTTCTGATGTAAAGACTCTTGCTGAAATCTTACACTGACTGCCCTAACGCAGAAGCTATACCTGGCTACAGAGAGAAAAATTAAGATCAAGAAAGACAGACTTGGCCAGGCGTGGTGGCTCATGCCTGTAATCCCAGCACTTTGGGAGGCCACAGCAGGTGGATCACCTGAGGTCAGGAGTTCAAGACCAGCCTGACCAACACGGTGAAACTCCATCTCTACTAAAAATACAAAAATTAGCTGGGCGTGGTGGCACGTGCCTGTAATCCCAGCTACTAGCGGGGCTGAGGCAGAAGGATCACTTGAACCTGGAAGGCGGAGGTTGCAGTGAGCCAAGATTGTGCCACTGCACTCCAGCCTGGGCAACAGAGTAGGATTCTGTCTCAAAAAAAGAAAGAAAGAAAGAAAGAAAGAAAGACGTGGTCCATTCACACATTAAATGCTCTGTGCTTCTGTGTTCATTGAAAACCATGTCCAGCAGGACACATTTGAAAGGGCTGCATGTGAGCTCTTTTCTGACCGCTAGGATCTATGAGGCTTGGGCAGTTTGCCCTTTAATTTTTCCTTTGAAGAATGTTTCAATGCTGCCCAGAGTAGGCCCATAATTGTCTGCTGAATGAAAACATCTAACACTCTCACGCTGTCCTAAGCCTTCAGAAGCGTTCTCAGGGTGAGGATATAGGGACAGATATATCTTTCCACGTCTCTTGATAAGTATTTCTCCAGATGTTTTGATAAGCTAAGCAGTAATGAACTCAAGATATTCTTACTGCACCCCTTGGGAGATTATACAATGACAGATCAATCACTAGAAAGCTTTATGAATGTGAACAAATGTCAATTTTTCTGTGTCAGATATGAGGGTAAAGGTAAACTTATTAATTTATTAAAGGTAAAATTATTAAAAGACAAAGATGGGATTTTATTAATTTCCTCATTAGCAGCGTTGTGAGGGGGTGGTTTGGACTTGATGGACTCTAGAGTCCATTGGACCCTGTCCAATTCTATCTTGGTCCTTCAAAGGTTGTTTGGAAATACGGTTACACTATAGCAAGGTGGGACAGAGAGGCCCAGTCAGGTGAAGGCAAACACATCGCACTTACTCTTTTGTCATCTCCATATCTGATCATTTCATGAGCAAAGTCATCGGTGGGTTTGACACGGACAAATGCATGAACTTTTTTCCTAGTACCCATTCTAGCTAAAGAGAAGGGAACAATGAAATTTTGAATAGTCATTATTAAATAACAAGTAGAGAAGAGGGGTCATTCGTTAAGAAGATCAGAAAAGAGTGACAAGCAGTCCATTTTTCCCTCTCTCCCTGAAAGCCAGTCTTCCTTTTCACCCCTCAGCATTTCAGTGTTCTACCCACAAGACACTGCTCAACAAATACAGGCACTTTCTGCTTCACAGACTGCTTTGCCATTTTCCACCAATGACCCAAGAGAGACCGAAATACAAAGTAAAAAGAATGCTTCCTTTAGTGTCCTAATCTTAGATGTCATTTCTAGAAATGTTCTGCATCTAAGATGATGAGTCCACTTATACTTTTCTTCTTTTATTATATTTTCTTCTGAAATACTTACTATGAAATACATTAAAACTAATTTTCTTTTCATTAACTTATCTTGCTTCAGATACAGCATCCTCTTCTCCAAGAGACTAACTAGATCAGAAATAAATGCCCTAGAAGTATATTTGGTCCATAATCAAATATTCTTTCTTCTCTTACTATATTAAGAAAAAATAACACAGACAGTCCCCTACTTCCTCTTGCTCTCCTAAAACCTAACTATATTCTCATCATTTTCTTTCAGTGTGTGTGTATATGCATGTGCATATATATATATAGTAGTATAAATAAAGGAAGACATAGGACATATATACATACTTTTTTCTCTTCTTTTGAGACAGAGTCTCACTCTGTCACCCAGGTTGGAATGCAGTGGTGCTATCATGGCTCAATGCAGCCTTGACATCCTGGGCTCAAGTGATCCTCCTGCCTCAGCCTCCCCAGTAGCTGGGACTACAGGTGCGTACCACTGTGCCTGGCTAGTTCTCTTACATTCTTTTTGTAAGATGGTGTCTTACTATGTTGCCTAGGCTGGTCTTGAACTCCTAGCCTCAAGTGATCCTCCTATCTTGGACTTCCAAAGTGCTGAAATTACAGGCATACCCAGCTGATGTTCAATATTTTTTAAAAAATTAACATTTATTTCATTGTTTTATTTTTGGAGATAAGAGTTTCTTTATGTTGCCTAGGCTAGCCTTTAACTTCTGAGCTCAAGTGATTCTCCCATCTCAACCTTCCAAGTAGCTGAGACTACAGGCGCATGGCTTGGCTTTTAAAACACTAACTTTTGGCTGGGCGCAATGGCTCACACCATAATCCTAGCACTTTGGGAGGGCAAGGTGGGCAGATCCCTCGAGGCCAGGAGTTTTGAAACCAGCCTGGGCAACATGGCAAAAACCCATCTCTACAAAGAATACAAAAATTAGCCAGGAGGCCAGGTGCGGTGACTCATGCCTGTAATCCCAGCTCTTTGGGAGGCCGAGCCAGGTGGATTACCTAGGTCAGGAGTTCAAGACCAGCCTGGCCAATGTGGTGAAATGCTATCTCTACTAAAAATACAAAAATTAGCCAGTCGTGGTGGCAGACGCCTGGAATCCCAGCTACTCAGAAGGCGGAGGCAGGAGAATCGCTTGAACCCGGGAGGTGGAGGGTGCAGTGAGCTGAGATCGCACATTTGCACTCCAGCCTAGCCAGCAGAGAGGGACTCCATCTCCAAAAAATAAATAAATGAATAAATAAATAAAATAAATAAATTAGCCAGGCATAGGGGTGCATGCCTATAGTCCCAGCTACTCAGGAGGCTGAGGTGGGAGGATCACTTGAGCCCGTGGAAGTTGAGGCTGCAGTTAGCTTTGATCATACCACTGCACTCCAGCCTAGGTGATACAGTGAGACCATGTCTCAAAAAAAAAAACAACCAAAAAACAAAAAACTAACTTGGGCCAAGCACAGTGGCTCTTGCCTGTAATCTCAGCACTTTGGGAGGCTGAGGATGGCAGATTACCTGAGGTTAGGAGTTCAAGACCAGCCTGGCCAACATGATGAAACCCTGTTTCCACTAAAAAAAAAAAAAAAAAAAAAAAATTAGCCGGATGGTTGGTGGTGGGCGCCTGTAATCTCAGCTACTCTGGAGCTGAGACCGGAGAATCACTTGAATCTGGAGGTGGAGAGCCAATGTCATGCCACTGCATTCCAGCCTGGGTGACAGAGCAAGACTCAGTCTAACTAACTTTTAAGACGTTAACCATAAAAACCCCTCATGTATAACAGGGACTTGTTTTAATTAGATTATCTTGCTTTTTTAAAAAAGTACATTAAATAATGGTAACATTTTATATAAAATTATCTAAGAGAGGACCAATGGGTGTTACCTGACAAAAGTTATTTCCGATTTTATTTATTTATTATTTTCGAGACATTTATTTCAGACAGTCTCACTCTGTCTGAGACAGTGCACTCAGGCTGGAGTGCACTGATGTGATTTCAGCTCACTGCACCCTGTCTCCCAGGCTCAAGCAATCCTTCCACCTCAACCTCAACCTCCAGAGTAGCTGGGAGGACAGGTGTGCGTCACTATACCCGGCTAATGTTTTGCATTTTTGTAGTGATGGGGTTTCAACATGTTGCCCAGGGCAGTCTCAAACTCCTGGATTCAAGCAATCCATCCACCTCAGCCTCACACTCAATTTCTAAAGCTTGGGGAACCACTCTTCACATCCAAGGGCCCATTCTCCTGCCCAGGGAAATTCAGATGCCATCCAGAGTATGCTCCGAAAGGGACCATGAAGAAGCAGGGGAGCTCTGGGAGCAGATGCCCGGGCCTCCCTCCCTGAAGTCCCTGCACAAGAGTAGCACAGGCCAGTTCAGAGCATCAACCTCAGCTGGGCATGGTGGCTCAGGCCTGTAATCCTAGCACTTTGGGAGGCCAATGTGGGAGGATTGCTTGAGGCCAGGAATTAGAAACCAGCTTGGGCAACACAGCAAGACCTCGTTTCTACAAAAAATTTTAAAAATTTGCCAAGTGTGGTGGTGCATGCGTGTGGTCCCAGTTATTCAGGAGGCTGAGGCAGCAGGATCACTTAAGCAGTGATGGCACAACACTGCTCTCTAGCCTGGACAATAGCATGAGACTGTCTCAACAAAACAAAACAAATAAGCAAAAGCATCACTCTCCCTCCAGAGCCTGGCCCTTCTCTGCCCCGATATTTGCCAACATGCACATGCACATGCAGTCACCCCATGTATGCTTCCCAAGGCCCTCCCCATGCTGACACCATGGCTCCAAGCAGTCCAGGAGCCATATCCACCTGCAATAAGTCTTCCTTTGCACACCCGTCTTATGAGCCTGCTACTCAGCAGCCCCTTAACACCCAAACATTTGGAGACCCCACGCCATCTTGCACTTACTGAAATACTGCTTGTTACCATTCTTACGTCGCTTCATTTGAGTGGGTTTCAGTTCCCAAATTAAATTACAAGCTGCTTGAAGGCAAGGATTGTGCTTTTTATCTCTTTGGAATCCCCTCACAATGTCCAGGGCAGAGCCCAGCAGAGAGTAGGTGCTCAGGAAATGGCGGTGGGTGGTGATGGTAATGGCTGGAAGTCAGAGGGCAGCTGAATCTTCATATGTGGATCTATCTTCAATCACTACTGAGAGAGTCCCAAGGGGCATATGATGTCACTCCCCTTCCATGACAACTCCAACCCAAGCCCACAGCCCTTCCAGGAGGACAGTTGGTTTCCAGGTGCAAAAATCCACGTCCAGCACCTCACCCCACTTTTTTTTTTTTTTTTTTTTTGAGACAGGGTCTCTCTTTCACCTAGGCTGGAGTGCAGTGAAACAATCTCGGCTCACCATAGCCTCCACCTCCTGGGTTCAAGCGATCCTCCCACCTCAGTCCCCCAAGGAGCTAGGACTACAGGCGTGCACCACCAAGCCCGAATAATTTTTGTATTTTTCCTAGAGACAGGGTTTCGCTGTGTTGCCCAGGCTGGTCTTGAACTCCTGAGCTCAAGCAAACCGCTCACTTCAGCCTCCCAAAGTGTTAGGATTACAGGCGTGAGCCACGGCGCCCGGAGGACCCTTCCCTTTCTCCCTCGGGACTTTGTGGGGAATGTCTCTCCTTGGGGAACCACCCTTTGATATTTCTGGTATAACAAAGCAAGTCTCTGAATGGTCACCAAGAGACTTCTGTGTTAAGACGCTCGAGGTTTCCTCATTTGTCTTTAGTGGGAATTAACAGAATTGTCAACAAGCACCCATGAAGACTCGACAAGAGGAAAGGGAGCGTTTGGTGGTTGGGTGGTAGGCACCAGGTGGGTCCCTGTCTTCCAGTGCTCCTGTCTAGACGAGGGGCTGTCATGGGGGAACCCTCATAACTACCCGAAGCGGCAGCAGCAACACCCGAATCCAAAACACTGGGTCGAACTGCACCTGGCCTTGGCTAAACAAGACTAGGACGCAGGCAAAACTAGCCTTTCTCCTTTTTCTCACCCAATGTGCCGGACCCCCGCGTGGAGCCTGGGCGGCAGTGGGCTTTGAACCCATTCCGGTCCCTCTCTGGAGAGGTTTCCTCATCTGTAACACGAAGGGCCGCGACTGGTGATCCCAAAGCCCCCTCTAGTACGAAAATCGACTAGTGCGGAAGAGTCCAGACGACCTCTGGCTCCCTGCCTCACGGCCTCAGTGTCCTGGGCGCGACGTGGGACCCCTTTGTGGGACCAATGAACATTAGCTCCGAAGACCGTAAGCCGAAGCCAGGCTGAAAGGACTCTCGCGATGTCGCGCCCTCCTTCGTCTGGGTTTCAGAGATGAGCGATCCAGCTGGGAACCCCCAGATAGAGCGGTGTTTGGACCCCAGCCACTATCAGCAGTCCGGGCGCACACCCTTCTCCCGTCTCTCCACTCCCACCGGCACGCAGCCCCTGCTCACCGTTCACCAGGCAGCGACGCTCCCAGGACGCGACGGCCACAACCGAAGTCACCTGCACTCCCCACGCGGGACTGTCTAGCAGTGTACACAGTCGCCATGGCAACGGGTCGCTTCCGGGGATTCCGGAAGTGTCGGGGTGGCGGAAATGAAGTCCGAGGTCCTACGTCGAGGATACGGGTGAGGTCATGGCCGAATCGGGAAGACGAGAGATGGGGCCGATTGATCTAGAAAGACTTCGGCCGATGCATGCGCGAAGCCAAGTTCGAGGTAGCGAGACAACGAAGGCCGCACGTGAACCAGGAAGCGGGGCGGCGGGGCTTCCGGCGCCGAGGAGTTTCAACTACGGCGGCCGCAGAGGCCCGTCTAATTGCTGCTCCGCGCTCCGAGCCGCTGTCGGCGTGCTAGATCGCCCCGCCCTGGTTAGTGTCTAGCCGGCCGGCGAGGCCTGCGCAGTTGCGGCGGCCGGGGAAGATGGTGGAGGACGGCGCGGAGGAGCTGGAGGATCTGGTGCACTTCTCGGTGTCCGAGTTGCCTAGTCGCGGCTACGGCGTCATGGAGGAGATACGGCGGCAGGGCAAGCTGTGCGACGTGACCCTCAAGGTATCGCGGGCTGGGCGGCAGCGAGCTGAGGGGAAAGTGGTCGAGCGGGGAGTAAAAAGGGGCGGGGGGTCAGAGAAAGAGAGGTCGAGCGGGGAGAGGATTGGGGAGAAGAGGTTTGAGGGGTGCCGAGTAGTGGGGAGAGAGGTGCCGAGCAGAAGGGGATCGGGGCCGAGTCGGGGAGAGGAAGAGGACCTTTCAGCCCCTGAAAGGAAGGGTTGAGAGGTGCGCCGCTTAGGCCCTTGAAGTGGGAGATATTGGGGTGACAGCCTCCCTTTTCTGTCATACAGACGAGAGAAAATGGACTTACCTTCTATGGAGGCAGGGGCGGTGGCCGGCCCCACATGCTGATGGGCACCACTGAATTCAGCACCCTCTCTTGTCACTACAGATATTTGTTTGTGCCTGTCGAACTTGGCTGTGCTGTTGTAGAGAAGGCTTCTCCTTGGGAATCATTGCCTGCCCTTAATTGTTGAATCACTACTTTGTCTCTTAAGAGCTTTTAAAATCTGATCTGGAAATTTTTTGAGGTGGGAAGCCACCCTGCCCCACACTGGAAGGCACCACCACCACCACCACCACAAGCTGCCCGGGGCTGGGCCTACTGGCCGCCTGGGGAGAGGGGTACTGACTGATACTAAGAGGGAAAGATATCTTAACCACCTGTTCCCCACCAGCATTCTGGTCGCAAGAGCCAGCCTCCCTCCTGTGCCTGGGTCTTTTCATGTGGAAGGGGCATGCTGTGCTGCTCCCTGGCCAAGCCACCGAACCATGTGGAGACGTCCGGCCCGGGAGATGATGAGTGGGGCTCCCTGTTGGGCTTTGACCGGAAAGTTCTCAGCATCTGTGGGTGATCTTTGTTTAAAAAACGAACAGGGCAGGCATGGTGGCTCACACCTGTAATCTCAGCACTTTGAGAGGCGAGAGGATCACTTGAGTGGGGGAGTTGGAGACCAGCCTGGGCTATGTAGGGAGACCCTGTCTCTACAAATAATAAAAAATTGGCTGGGCATGGTGGCCTGTGCCCGTAGTCCCAGCTACTCGGGAGGGTGAGGTGGGAGGATCGCTTGACCCTAGGAGGTCAAGCCTGCAGTGAGTTGTAATCGCACCACTGCACTCCAGCCTGGGCAACAGAGCAAGACCCTATTTCTCCTATTTCTCTCTCTCTCTCACATACACACACACAAAGAAATAAAAGAAAGAAAAAATAAAACTATGCAGAGATCCTTTTGCTCTTCTTCTTTTCTTTTTTTGAGACAGAGTCTCGCTCTGTTGCCCAGGCTGGAGTTGCAGCGATCTCGGCTCACTGCAACCTCTCTCCTGGGTTCAAGCAATTCTCCTGCCTCAGCCTCCCCAGCAGCTGCGACTACAAGCACACACCACCAGCCCGGCTAATTTTTTCTATTTTTAGTAGAGACGGGGATTCACCATGTTGCCCAGGGTGGTCTCGAACTCCTGAGCTTCAGCAATCTGCCCGCCTCGGCCTCCCAAAGTGCTGGGATTACAGGTGTGAGCCACCACGCCCAGCCTGCTCTTATTTTCTGCGTGATTAAGGAAACTTTCCTTCTTCAACATAGTTGAGTCAGATCTCTGGAGATGGTAGAGTAGGATGGTTGAGTATGGCTTTGAAGGCAGAAGGATTTGGATTAAAATCCTAGTTGTAACCTTGGGCAAGTTACTTAATCTCTGTAAGCCTCGGGTTTTTTTTGTTTTTGGTTTGGTTTTTTTTGAGACAGTCTCGCTGTGCCGCACAGGCTGGAGTGCAGTGGCGTGATCTTGGCTCACTGCAACCTCCACCTCCTGGCTTCAAGTGAATCTCCTGCCTTAGCCTCCCAAGTAGCAGGACTACAGGCGCCTGCCACCACGCCTGGCTAATTTTTGTGTGTGTGTTTTTAGTAGAGACGGGGTTTCACTATGTTAGCCAGGCTCGTCCTGAGCTCCTGACCTCATGATCCGCCCGCCTCAGCCTCCCAAATTGCTGGGATTACAGGTGTGAGCCACTGAGCCCGGCCCCTTTCATCATTCTAAACCCTCCTGAAGGAGGTTGTTTTTCCAGGAGAGGAGTGAAGTGATCTGAGAAGGCACGAGATCTTCTCAGATGGGAAAGAGGAACTAAGAGAATTCAGAAAAATGAGCTAGACTAAAGGAGGCAGAGGAAGTAAAAGTAAATTAGAAGTTTTTATCCACAGTGATTACATGGTGGAAGATGTTAAGGCCACTAGAAATTTGTAAGCAGAAAAATGATCCGGTTGTGGCAGCAACACTTGGTGTAAATAGAGACTAGTGAAAAACAGTAATAGGTGTGAATTTCTAAATTAAAATTTAGGCTGTAGACTGGGCACCGTGGCTCATGCCTATAATCCCAGCAATTTGGAAGGCCAAGGCGAGCGGATCGCTTGAGGCCAGGAGTTTGAGACCAGCCTGGGCAACATGGCAAAACCCCATCTCTATTGGGGGAAAAAAAAAAAAGAGTTAGGCTGTAAGGGTGAACCAGGGGAATCTTATAAGACACAGGGAATCAAAAAGGGCATGGCAGCGTGGGATGGTCACATATACTTCTACATAAAGTATTAATAGTACACTTAATGCAGATACTGAATATAGTAATCTTTCAGCAGAACTTTGCTCATTCATTCAGAGGGAAAAGTAAGTTATCAGACGTGGCTGGGTGCAGTGGCTCACGCCTGTAATCCCAGCGCTTTGGGAGGCCGAGGCAGGTGGATTGCTTTGAACTCAGGAGACCAGCTTGGGCAACATGGTGAAACCCCATCTCTACAAAAAATTAGCTGTAGTGGTGTGTACCTTTAGTCTTAGCTACTCAGGAGGCTGAGGTGGAAGGATCACTTGACGTGGGAGGATCACTTGAGCATGTTGCCCAGGCTGGAGTGCAGAGGCTGCAGTGAGCTGAGATCGTGCCTCTACACTCCAGCCTGGGCAACAGAGTGAGACCCTGTCTCAAAAAAAGAAAGAAAGAAAGAAAAGAATCAGACATAGTTTCAACTGAGACGGTCAGTCTGAATTGCTGTGTTAGTTTCAAGGATCTAGAACATAAGGACCAGTATATTTATTTTTTTCTCTCTAATAAAAAGCCTCCAGTAGGAAGGACTAGTATAAAGGCATGCGCTAGAGCTGGACAGGACTGTAGAGAGCATTTACTTCACTGATTTTGAAAACTGTATTGTAGAGCCCAAGGAGTAGCTCTGTAGCAATATAATGCTGGGACTGGGGAAAGGGCATGCAAATCAGGCTTTGCACATTTCACTACTTGCCACCAGAGCTGTCCTGGGAAATCTGTTTTGTCTCTCTTTCTTGTCAAAGTCTTTCTTCAGTTTTCTGGTGACGCCACAATGTTTTTCAAGTAAACAGACACTGAAAAACTGGTTGGAAGCTTTTCGGTGTGAGATATTTTATTGACTGGTGGGCCTCCCTGTCAGGCAGTGGTTCTCAAACTTCAGTGGACTTCAGAATCACCTGGTAGCCTTGTCAAAACGCTGGTTGTTGGACCTCACCCAGAATTTCTAATTCATTAGGTCTGGCATGGGCCTGAGAACTCATATTTCTGACAGGTTCCCCTATGCTGCTACTCTTAGTCTGGGACCACGTTCTGAGGGCCATGGTTGTAGGGTGATGGACCTGTCGTTTTCTGTGGGATATGTTCAAAGTCCGTAGATCTTCCTCCAGGCTTCTTCTTAGGTGGTATAAGCCTGGCTGTTATTCTGGGAGACTTATGGTAGGAGAGGGCTGGAGGTTCTCCCTTCTGTGTGCAGACTTTCACTTAATCCCACTAAATGGTACCACTTCCTTGTCTTCAGGGGTGCCCTGGTTACCCAGGTCCAGAGGCTCTTGTTCATTCTGTCTGAAGAGTAAACCTCCAGTCTTCTACCTGGGTGGTGATGCAGCAGTTGCTTGCCTCAGGGAGGGGGACCAGTACTTCCTGATTTCAGTCCTCCTTCTTGCTCACAACTTCAGAGGAAACTGGTCCCTCCAGTGGTTCCATTTTGGAGGGGATTCTTCAGTGGCTTGCATTCCACAACACTCAGTATCCTCTAAGTCAGTTATTACTCATCTTTTCTTCTTCTAAAATTTTGTTGACCCTTCTAATCTGCTGTCTCTCTCTGCTTCTTTTTCCTTCAGAGCTTTGCTGTTCCTTGATCATCAGTCCGAAAGGCAGTATCACACAGACTCTGCAGCCACACTGCCTACGTTTGAGTTCTGGGTCTGCCACTTATTAGCTGTGAAAATGATCAGCTTCCTTAAACACTGGTGATTCTCTGTCTCATCTGTAAAATGCAGATCACCACCTACTTGAGTGTTGAGGATTCAATTAGTTAATGTACTTCAAATAATCATGTAGTAAATGCTCAGTAACTAGTGTGTGTGTGTGTGTGTGTGTGTGTGTGTGAGTATTTTCTTTCTTTCTTTGAGACAGAGTCTTGCTCTGTTGCCCAGGCTGAAGTGCAGTGGCGCAATCTTGGCTCACTGCAATCTCCGCCTCCC